ATATATATATATATATATATATATATATATATATATATATATATATAGTTTAAATTTGAAATATTATGTATAATTCGCAATTACATGTTCCACATTTAATTCGTTAAAAAATCTCGCATTACGGTTATTTATGGCTGTTACATAAAACACTAGAAAAACAATTAAATAGTTATTTTTAATTAGAATTATACTCTCTAAAACCAATTACTATATCGATATAATACATAATTACGTATACATGTATGTGTGTGCATACGTGCGTGAGCACAGACATGTAAATTTTTCAATTCAATTCATTCAATTCATAATCAACTTAAAAATTTATAATGTAAATAAATAATAATATATACTAGTGTAACAGAACGAAAGTAGGATGTCCTCCGTGCTTTTAAAATCACCTTTAAACAGGCAGCTTAGTGGTCTATTGCCAACATGTAAGCATTGTTGCTAACATTATGGTTGCAAAATATCCCATACTATAACAATCAACCAACGTTTGAGTATCACATCAGTTAACTCTCTCGCTCCGAAGACGTGTACGTATTTGTACACAAATAGTCGTTTATATATGAAAACCTGCATGACAGTTTTGTAAAAAATACAATATATACGAAGATCGTATAAATCCGTATAAAATCTGTATAAAAATCTATATAAAAATTATGAACATTAGAATCATTTGCATCACACGGTGTTAACGTCTTACATACTTACTACATAAAACAGTAATTATTACGTTTTGTATAACATAGACGTTGTCAGTTTTAAGCAGACCGTAACGAAAGAGTCAATATACGACTTGCTTCTGCTATAACGACTCTTACTGCAATCCTACTGTGATATTTCGATCGACGCATTTTACCGGACAATATACAAATTGCCACGTTTCTGTTAGAATTGAGTAATTGTTGTTACTCTGAAACGTGTACTGTTTAAAAATACTTATATTCGGCAAGATACGTAGATACTGTAAGAATATTAAGGAATTTTCAGGAAGTACGCGCGTAACTTACATTGAGAATGTGCAGTTAAAATCGAATCAACTACTCTCGCGTTGAATGCATTCTTGGACGACGTAAAAGTTTAAATATCTAAATAATAAATTATTCGTAATAACATATACGACGCGAAATATGTCAAGGACGCTTAATATACTTCTCGTTTTATAAACTATGATAGAGACGTATTTAAGATCCAAATATTAAGATATTGGATTTTCGATTTTTGCGATGAATTTTCATCATTAATTAATATGTTTCATTAGTACTAGCACGAGACTCCACGTTTAAAAGTTTTTAGAAGGCTTCAGGCCGCACAAAATTCGTTCGGCTGTTCCTTAAATTCGATCATGAATTCGGAGTCACTTTCTCTGGGCATATTAATAGTTATAGTAAATTATTATAATCGACACTCGAAACGATTATGTGTAGTCTTAACTTATCCACGTTGTAGTAACCATTACAAGTGCCGTTACAATTCCGTGAGAGTATCTACTGACGCCCGCAAGCGAGATCTAGTGATGCAATCAGTATATCCCTTACTGGACCCAGCACCATCAATTCGAGAGACAATCTCTTCTTTCAAGCTCGTAAGTACCCTACGATCTTGTCTGTTATGAGCAGGTGTGTTTCGCAGAGCTTCCTGAACGTCCGATAGGGCGTCTTCGAGCAAACCCAAATCCACGCGTGCTTTAGCTCTGGCATAGAATGCTTCGTAAGATATCGACCGAACGTTGAGAGCTTCGTCAGCGAGGTCAATCGCTTCGGTGTGTTCCTGTCAAAGAATGGCATTGTATCATAAATAATGGATAAATAATGGATAAACGAACAAAATATAACAGGCATAATAACAGGACGCGATTACTAACGTTCATTTTGCGTTTGCATCGACTGAGATTCAATAGAAAGTTTAAGTGAAGCTGCGTAAAAGTTTGAAGCTGCAGCATCATGTGACCTTGCTCCTGTCCCTGGCAATCTTCTTCCGGCGAAGCTGGGAACTTCCTAAGAGCGTACGCGTATCGATGCGACGCTTCCTTCAACCGATTTTTCCGATACAACACATTGCCATCCTCCAAGAGTTTATTCAACAGGATTATCAAAACGTCCGGTTTCCCAGCTGCCATGGCCCATGTAGCAGGACCCAGTTTAGCGCCACGACGCAAGAAGCATTGAACCACCGGTATATTACGACAACCGATAGCTCGATCCAGAGGCCGCATACCATGGAGATCAACGTGTTCCACTGCGGCACCTTTCTCGAGCAACAGCTGCACTAATTTTGGATTACCCTATATATGTTTCCACATATATCAGGTAGATCCCAAAAATATTAGATCCTCAGCAATACATGGTAAGTAAAATTGCTAGTGCGAACAAAGAAAGCCGGAAAGCTGGAGTCTACCTGGAATGCGGCTAAATCCAAAGGAGTTCTACCGGTGTTGTCGTTGGTACTGACATCGGCGCCGCGGTCCAGCAAAACTTGCACGGCAGCCACACGTCCTCTGACGCAAGCCCAACAAAGAGCGGTGAGACCATCTTTATCTCTTGTTTCTAAGATTGATTCTTTATCGAGGAGTAAGTCAATCAGATTGGTGTGACCTTCCGAGGCGGCAAACATTAACGCAGTACGGCCAGCGAGATCGCGCTGTTCCAAAAGCGATAAAGCTTCGTCTGACACAGCGTCTGTGCTAACGGACAAAACTCCTGCAAAACGTAAATTCAACATTCATCAAGGTAGTCTTTTACTCAGAAGACGAGCACGAAAGAAATATACGAACTTTGTAAAAGCCGTTCAGCAGTACCCCAGTGCCCTTCTCTAGCGGCGAGCATTAAAGGGGAAAGGCCTTTTGCATTAACAGCTATCGGATTAGCACCACGAGCTAAAAGAGCAGAAACCGTTGCGGTCGAACCGTTCGCAGCGGCGAGCGTCAAAGCGGTTTCACCAATCAATGTATCGGGACGATCTATGATAACCTCGGCCATATCCAGAAGATACTCCACAACGGCTTCGTGGCCCTGCGACGCAGCCGCGACAACGGCTTGTTGAGCGGCTTCCTTTCTGCCTACTTCCACAAAACCATTTTCCGTTTTGTTCTCGCCGGTAGACACGATCCAATCGCAGGCGAGAAGGTATCCGACTACAGATAATCTTCCATGTCTTGCCGCGTGCACCAGAGGACACTGACCGGCCATATCAGCATGTCCCAATAACGCTCCAGCGGCAGCCAGTCTGTGAAATATGAACAATGTTATGTATGTTACAAATATGTATCTATATTCTCATAGGCGAAGCATTTAATTAAGATAAGTGTAATTATACCTTCTGACAACATCGCAATGGCCTCGGGCAGCTGCGAGTGATAGCGCAGTACAACCCTGACTGTTGGTCAGTTCGACATCGGCATCAAACTCAAGAAGAAGCGACACCATCTCAACGGAACCCTCATGCGCATACATGCATAGAGCCGGTGCATTGCCTAAATACTCAGTAATATGATTCGGAGATGCGCCCGCCAGCAAGAGCAATCGCGATACTTTCACGTTGGGACTGTAGATGTTTCGAAGCATGCACAATGCCGAAGAGACGCATTCGCTCGACGAAGTTAACCAGATTGCCTGTAAAAACAAAACTCGATTACGTTTCTCTTAATATCATGTTATTACATGTTATTACAATAGCGTATAATAACGTTAATACAATAACGTGTTCTTACAATTACTATTTAAAATACTTGCTTGTAAATCGCGCGAGGGTAAACATTGAGCTACGTTTCGGTAAACGTGCGCTTTCAGCACGTGATGGCCCAGTTCCAAGGCCTTGTCGCCATCCAACGGCGCTTGAAGGCGGGACAGTCTGAACGCTATTGCCGCATGTCCGAGTCTGTAGTCACACAGAAATTTTGTCGATTCTGCTTCGTCCCTTCTCATCAGCCATTCTCTGAACGATGGGTGGAAGAACATGTATGTGTCATCCAAGCGTTTCACGAGAAAGCCAGAGAGCATCTGATAAAAAGAAGATGCTGTTTTAATGGAATGTGCGGATATTCATTGCGACGACCAATATGTCATTTATATGGCACAGTCCAAGGACATATAATTTAAAAGTAATGAGCATGTGCTGATCGAAAAGTAACTACACTTAGCAATAGAATAATTATTCATTTGCTTCTATTTTAATGAAAGTTTTTATTATTAAATTATTGCAACTTACATTGTTTCGTTGCATAGTTGTGTTGGCGGAGGAAGAAAAAATGTACAATTTTATTTGTTAAAAAGAGACAAATATAAAGAGATACAATACAAATGTTACTGACAAATGTTATATTAAAAATTATTTAATATACTTGCCTTGAATCTTTGTAAAAAATCTTCCCACGAAATAAAATGGTTTGTATTTAAAGAATTTACAGAGTAGAAAATTTCAAGTAGAGTCAGTGGATACAAAGCCGCCAGACAGACGGCTAAAAGAGGTTGCACTTTGTCGAACGAAGCTGCTGTGGGAAATCTCAAATTAAAATGCAACTGAAAGATTTGTGCAAGAGAAACTGGTAGAACCTAAAAACAAAGTAATATTCATTATATTGTTGATGTCCTCCGAGTTACAAGCAGATTACTTTTGTCATTTGTGATTAATATTGAAAGATACATAGAATATAAATTGGCTTATATTTACATAGCGTCTAGTCATATTTACGTCTACTATTTACATAGCGCTATTCCTTATAAAAAATTAGAAAATTCCGAAGCATTTTTTCCATAAGTCTAACAAATAATAATTATCAAGTAATATTTAAATTTAACTAATCAAATATAATTTAATCCGTCATTAAGGGGGGAAATACTTTTAGAAACTTCAAAAATTTCAAAATTTTTTTCTTTCATAAAATGTTAATACAACTTCTCAAGAATATGATTCCAAAGTTTTAAAGTAAAATTCAAAATCCTTCTGTTGTTATAGCCTGTGAATGACCCATCCTTGCTTGACGCCGCAGCGCGCCACAGATATAAACGTTCGAAGCGGAGAGTATGTCTTTCATAATCCGCTCTTTTCTAATTCTTGTTAGTTCGGGTAGAATAGATGTTTTGCAAGAAGTGTTTAATATGTAACATTCAAGATTGGGTAGTGTTACGTCCCGTAGGGCCTCACGTACCTTTAACCGGAATGCATTGCGTAAAGACTGATTATCCGACCGGGTCACAAAACAGTTAAGTACACAAAAGAAGTACTTAGACCTCGAGTCTTACGAAAGAATCATCAAACATATCACCTACAAGTACGCATGTCCACATATCGCCTGATCGAACATTTCCCGAATTTCTATTTTTTCCCACGAATCCGAGCCTCATCCTTGTTACTAAGCACATCTCCAACGAATCCATCCTCGAAATTTCCTATTTTCCGAAAGTCCGACCCATATGACTTTTAGTTACTTCTATAACTATCACTACGAGTATCACTTCTATTACAATTATCGTTACTACTTCTACGAGTATCGCTACAAGAATCAGAATCAGAATCATTCTATAACTACTATAACTATAACTTCTATAACTACTCCTACGAGTTTCGCTACAAGAATCAGAATTAGTATCACTACGAGTATCAGTACGACTAGTATTACGTCGGTCATTATTACTTCCATCTACATTGTATTCGTGGGCATTTCTACCCACACTTAGCTTGACCACTTGGGAAAATCCGACAGGAAGGAAGCAATAATTTCAGGAGATCCAGAGAGACCCAATTTTCTTCTCGTACACACTAACAGTAAGTAATTGTTTTATTATCCGGTTTTCCGCGTCTCAATTTCGAATAAGTCCGGACAGACATAGCTTTACCTTGTCGAAATCGCAATAATTCCGGTGGACATTAATTATCGGTCAGAATTCGAAAATCGGTATGTCCCTTCCCTCGCTTTAGTGGATCGTCGATCATGTCAGCAACGCAGTGATCTGCGCGAAGCTCTAGGTACACTGGAGCTACTTCGATTCTCTCTCACGCGAAGTTTTTCACCGGATAACCCGTAGACTATTAGCACAATATTTAGATCTAGAAGATTTACCCCCCTTCCCTCTTCACCTACAGCCACTTCCACCAGATCCGCATCCTCTTCCATCATCTCCATCTTCTCCTCCATCTCTTCCTCTAACTTATTCTCCAGCCCCTTCACTCTCCAATAATCCTGAACACTGACGCTTACCCTCACCCCATATACTCACCCACACACGCACACCTACACATCGTATTAAAATTGTAGCTATAAATAAATCATACTTCATTTTTTTTTATAAAGAAATTCTGCGTCTTTCTTAACCCGTCCTCTCCCATTATCGCTCGAGGTCCCGAGTAAAGAGATTAAGTTCTCTGACTCAAAATCGGACCGCTCGCCGTACGTTGTCGCGTTAGTAAAGCGAGCCTTCTGGTCGCTGACTCGCTCTTCGACCTATAAGTGCAGGCGAGGCTTTCTTTACGTTACGTTCTCCTGCAGGGGTACTATTCCGTACACGCTTACCGACAACTGTCGGATCGGTAGGTATCGTTGCGCAGCTTTTCTATGGTATAAAAAAGCTGCGCAACGTCTATCGATCTGATAATTGTCGATAAGTGATTACGGAATAGGACCCCAGGACGCAAAAATCTTCAATAAAAAGTGTGAAAAAATGGACAGTTTTTTTTCTAGCGTCATTAGAAAGTTGCTATTTTAGATCTAACCAAACCTTTATCTACAGTACATAGATTACTTTTTTAACTGTATAGGCATTTATATATATAACCATACGTATGTCCGTTATTGAATAGATTCATGACTCAGTGCATGTATGTGGTGCGGGAGGGAGGGAGGTGTAATATAGGTGTGTATTGATATGTAAGTATTTATATCGATAGTTATTCTATTAGTATGTCCGACTATTATTATGTCCAAAAAATGTGTATATGGGTGTATAACCTAATCTGCCCAACATACATACGCACGCAACACACACACATAATTTTTTGGACGTAATAATGTCAGACATACAATAGAATAACTATGGATACACACATATCAATACACACCCATATTACACCCCTCCCCCTCCTGCACCACATGCATACACTGAGACATGAATCTATCAATAATGAACACACGTACGGTTATATATATGCCTATACAGTTAAAAAAGCAATCTGTGTACTGTGTAGATAAAGGTAGACCTAAAATAGCAACTTTTTAATGACGCTAGAAAAGAAACTGTCCATTTTACACTTTTTATTGAAGATTTTTTATCAACACCTCATAAGCTACAAAATATCATCAGTTTCAGTCAATTTGACTGAAACCACATTTGCCAATTAGTGCGAGATCCTTTCGAAGACATTTTATTACTTAAATGTAATAAGTATCTGTAAATAAAACATGTTTTCAAATAAGGTATATATTTATTTTTTCCGTTATTTGTAAAACTGAAACCCTGAAATCAAACAAAACTGAAATGAAACAAATTTAACTTTTAACTTTTTAATTATTTTTTTTATTAACTTAACTTTTAATTCAATTAATTTCACAGGGTTGGGAACGTTACTTTTTAAAAGTAACGCGTTACCGTTACCATTACTTGCGGTAAAAGTAACTCGTTACCATTACTCGTTATTGATTCTAAAAAGTAACGCGTTATCGTTATTTAAAAAGTAACAATAAAAAAATTGTTACTTTCCGTTACTTTTGTAAAAAAAAGTTAAAATCGGCTTATAAAACAAACAGTAAGAGAAACAGTATATAAATTATGCATATATAAAGACAAAATATAAGATTTAAGCGGAAAGCATACATTCTTGCATAATAACACAAAGTCTATTCTACATTAGTCGCAGATCGCAAGGTCGCAAAGAAATTGACTAATCATAGTTGATTGTTCTTCTTGCGATCAAAGAATAATCAATTATGATTGGTCAATTTCCTTGCAATTTTGCGATTACGAGTAATGTAGAATGGGCTTTAGGGCCGCCGCACACGAATTGACATAAGAGTAACAGTAAGACGTACCGTAAAAATGGACCAATTACAATTGAGTATTCACAAAAATGGCGACCTTACGATTCGACAATACTCAAAGTGATTGGTCAGTTCTTACGGTACGTTACTGTTATGTCAATTCGTGTGCAGTGCGTGGTATACAATGAGAACTTAAGCCATAAAGTTTAAGCTTTAAGTCCTAAGCTGCAAGAAGTTGACGAATCATAGTCAATTATAAGAAAAATAATTGACTGTGACTGGTCAATTTCTTACGGCTTAGAGCTTAAAGCTTAAATTTTATGGCTTAAGTTCTCATTGTAGACCACGCTTTAGAGGCTTTCTACAATAAGCAATAAATTTTAAGTTGCAATAAAATTGACCAATTACAGTGGATTATTCTTCTAATAGTCGACTATGATTGGTCAATTTTATTATAACTTAAGATTTATTGCTTATTGTAGAATGAGCTTTACGGAAAGCAGCACATTAATTGTTTATCGTGTGCAAACTTTCGTCACGTAGCAAGCGTTGCCGCGTTCTGTGTACAAGAAGCCACTATAGTAAAAAAGTAATGATACAAGTAACGATGAATTTCGTTACTCGTTACTAAAGAAAATGTAACGCCGTTACTTTTTCGTCACTGATACAAAAAAGTAACGACGTTTCCAAATTTTTACCAAAAAAAAAGTAACGAAATAGTAACGTCGTTATACGTAACGCGTTACTTCCCAACCTTGTAATTTCATTATGGGTTAACTAACAAGGAGATGCCACAACCTGCTAAATCGATTTCTGAATGAGACATAGCACGTTCGCTAGCTGCGATATTAAGCATCAACATCCCAATTGAAGTTTGTGTCAATGGGCCTTTGTTTGTGAGAAATTACAATATAAAGTTTGGGTTGCAGGACTGTATCACGGATATGGCTAAAAATACGACTGTCTTTCAGCGAGGCGGCGTGGCCGAGCAGACTGATGCTTCCATGTCGAAAATTTTTGAGCCGAAAGCGAGCGTTCGAAACCCTGCGACGAAGTTATCCTTTTGCGGTGTTTTTTTTTCTTACCTTAGGGCATGTAATTAATGTTTTTCGAATATGATACATTTGTTTTGCATATGTCATGTTTTTATGTTATTAATCAGGGGTAATTAGGGAAGTGTCAGGCTTGTTTAACGCAAACACGAATATAGACACATATTTTGCATTGCTTACAATAAAATATATATTTTAGTACATCACTTTCGTATGAAAACATTACAAAGTATACAACAGAGTCATATAATAAAACATTTTCATATAATAAAACATTGTCGTATAATAAAACATTGTCATATAATAAAACATTGTCATATAATAAAACATTGTCATATAATAAAACGTTGACATATAATAAAACATGGCCATATAATAAAACATTGTTATATAATAAAATATTGTCATATAATAAAACATTGTCATATAATAAAACATTGTCATATAATAAAACGTTGTCATATAATAAAACATTGTCATATAATAAAACATTGTTATATAATAAAATATTGTTATATGATAAAACATTGTCATATAATAAAACTTATACGCTATCATATAACAATATTTTATTATATGACAATGTTTTATTATATGACAATGTTTTATTATACGACAATGTTTTCATACGAAAGTGATGTACTAAAATATATATTTTATTGTAAGCAATGCAAAATATGTGTCTATATTCGTGTTTGCGTTAAACAAGCCTGACACTTCCCTAATTACCCCTGATTAATAACATAAAAACGAGACATATGCAAAACAAATGTATCATATTCGAAAAACATTAATTACATGCCCTAAGGTAAGAAAAAAAAACACCGTACAAAGATAACTACTCGTCGCCGGGTTTCGAACGCTCGCTTCCGACTCAAAAATTTTCGACGTGGGAGCCTCAATCTGTTCGGCCACGCCGCCTCACTGAAAGATAGTCGCATTTTTAGCCATATCTGTGATACAGTCCCGCAACTCAAACTTTATACAGTAATTTCTCACAAACAAAGGCCCATTGGCACAAACCCCAATTAGAATGTTGATGCTTAATATCGCAGTTAGCGAACGTGCTATATCTCGTTCAAAAATCGATTTAGCAGGTTGTGGCATCTCCTGGTAAGTTAAATTTTCAAAGCCATTAATTTTAACTTAACTTAGTTAAAAAAAAGTTAATTTAACCAACCCTGGTAATATTTATTATTTACATATTATCTAAATAAAATATTTCAAGTGAAAAGACTTTTACATCGTTCAACTGTCTTTATTAGACAGGGTCGGCGCCAGTGTCGCAGTCAATTTAGCGTCGAAATTCAGTTTGTACGGAACGGTTTTGAAAATTCAAAATAAAGTCATATTCAAAAGGAAGTAGAGATATGACATCCGGAGCATCGAATCCGCGTAAAAGACATTTCAATGGCAATCTTGCAGCTGGTGCAAGTGGCAAAAGGTTGAAGCTATTGGAGCAAATTTGGAACTTTTGGAGCACTCTGCACCACTGCACCCAGACATACAGAAGCATATTCTTCCTATTTGTGAAGACCTATCACAAGAAGATCTACTCCAAAGATGCTTGGGCGGCCATACACAGAATGCTAACGAAAGTTTTCATTCAACTCTTTAACGCTTCGCTCCAAAGTAGAACCTGAGTTCTGGGCTGAAAATCATTAAAATTGCAACATATATGGCAGCCGACTTGTTTAATGAAATATATGCTTCTATTTTACGAAACATGAGTACCGTAGATATCATTATTGGAAAGCAATGCAAAACGTATGCTGACAACATCAATGAGCGCGGGGTGATTCGACAGGAGCAACACAGCTCGTTAACGACCAAGGAGGCTCGTAAAGCACGTAGAAAAGAACATTTAGAGAAAAATCTGTTTTATGAGGAAACTGAAGCACTATTGTATGATCCTAGAATTGCAGACTAGCCGATAAGTCATTGAAATCATTGAGTTTTCACTTCTCGAAATTTGAAACGCAAAATTGCATTTTCGAAATTGGTGTAAGGGATAACTCAAAAACTATTTGACCAATCTCGTTGAAACTTTGCATATATCTAAATAACAATACCTTGTCCTTGAACCTATAGGTTTTAAAAAATAATTGAAAGAAAATATTGTAAAATATAGCAAAGATTTCGTGTAAAATTTGAACTTATTTTTAAAAAACGTGTTATTTCTGTAATTTTCAATTTTTTTCACTTTTCTTAGGTTCGCGCACACCGTATGAGTGTTAATGATCAAAAAAATTGTTACGTGTTTGTTTCAAATTAATACCGCAAAGGCTAAAGCTTACACCGTTTCACAACTTGCGCCACAGGGTGTATATCAGTTGGACACGGGGCAATTGGACACAGTCCAATCACAAGTCGCTGTTCCAAGGGACCCTACAAATGTCTCTAATCATACGGTGCTGTGATTGGCTGTGTCCAAATGCACCGTGTCCAAGTGCACCGCTCCCTGCGCCACAACCTTGTTGGAAAACAGTACCACAAATCCGCCATTTTAAAATATTTTGTAAAAACAAAAATACGTTATGATAGTTAAAAGTACTAGTAAATAATATGCAAAGTTTCAAAAATGTAAGACAAACCGTTTTCTTTAAAAAAATTCATAAAAGTTGCCTCATTTTCATGCCCCTAAAGGTATTTTCCCCCTAAATGAGTGGACGCCTGTGGGTTGCATACTTTGTAAATATGTGAATAAATTACATAATACAATTATGTAATTACAAATTACATAATACAACGCCGCTATATCACTACATCCCTAAGACCGCCTTTAAGCAGTTTCGCAGACACGTAATAATAAAAAAAAGCTACACCCATTCAAATGGTGACGTTGATTAGTTAAACTTTACTCAACCATTTTTAAACCATGTATAAAAAATTATTAAGGACTATTTGACTCAAATTTTAACAAAATATTGCGAGATATAAATAATAGGTACGAGTTAGTTTGTATCTTTATACTTGTACGTACGTACCTTATAACTCGCGGATTTGGCGACTAAATGGCCACTCTCGATGAGATCGAGCGTCAACTTGGCAAAAAGAAAACTTCCTTTAGTCAACGCGAGCAAATGCGAAGCAAATCTCATCTGACTTGCATTGCATGATAATTCCGCCTTGCCGTTTACTGACGCAGTTACGTTCGCCTGTATGGAAGGACTTTGCTCGAGCCTATAATTGATATAATCAGACAAGTCCCTTGCGACGCCATTACCAACGACGTCATTCGTAGTTCTGTCTAACGAGATCCTTGTGTAGGGTAGTTGTTTTGTACAATCTAACAATTGCGTCCTGACTGTACAAACAATCTTTAGCCAACTAGGAATGTTAGGTGCGTGTCTGGTCAGGAAAGAAGCTATAGTATCTCCTCTGTCTGGTCTGTGATATTCGGCCTCGCAAACAGCGTCGATTAATATCACCTGAAAGCAAAATACACGTGAGCGAAATCTCATTAGAAACGAACAATTCGCAAGAGAAAATATGAAATACAAATACAACTTAACGTATATCATTTAATTACCATATTGGAAAGTGGTAATCTGTTCGCTTTCTTCAGAGTCGAAAGTGGCTCAATAATACCTCTGGAAAGCGCGAGATCTGGATCGACTGTGCATTCCCTTTGCGACAGTGAGCCTTGAAGATGAGGCTCGGACAGAAGATACTCTCTATACGAGATCAATTGAGGAGCCTGACAGAGTTGGGCCGCTAACGAGTGAATTAAATCCGGTACTACGCAGGTACTGTTATTATCAGCTTGGCAAAAGTGATAAGCCACGACATGCGAGGCTAATTCGCGGACCTACGATTCGATATGATAGGTCTTATACTATTTCGTTAAAAATAGTAAATAACATTCGGGAAAAAGAAAATGCGCCAATGTCGCACCTTTTCATTCGTATGCCGAATGTTAACTCGCAAAGTCGTACTGTTATTCTGCGTCTTTTTCTCGTCAAATTCTTCGGTTGCTTCCAAAGATATGGGCTGTTCCCTTCTTCTACCAAAACAACTGTGTTCAACCAGCTGTAGAACAAGCGCGGTTTTTCCCGTCCCAGGTGATCCAGAGATCAAGATACCAGAACTGGAGCCATTAATCATGGATTCCAATTCGTGTAATAGCCATTGTCGTCCCGCGAAAAGCGGGTCCTCCTCTAGTAACGGTACTTCGAAGAATAATGGCTTCAGTGTTAACTGCGTCGCGTGATGCTGAGCGAAGCGTACTGAAATTAATACAGATTCTCATTACATTCGGAAGACTCAAATTTGCAATGTCAGAAAACGAATATTACGTTTAGCGTCCATTGGTCCCTTGAAATTGTTACTTTTTGCTGATCTCCTGATGCAAGATCGCCTATTCTTGAATTGACCGAGTTCGTCTGCTTGACCTGCTTGCGCAGTATTAACGGAATGTCTTCTGGACGTGAGTGGGCTAGAACTGCCATTTGACAAACCCGAGACAGACACCGACATAGACATGGACATCGACGTGGACGCGGATAACGACGTAGAAATGGACGCTAAGCTGCCAGCGCTGTCGCAATCCCTGGATTTAATTTTACCCTTTGCTTTGACTTTTGGCTTCATAGGGCATCGTAGCGCCGCTGCGGCTTCCGCCTCGCTTGAAGTGCCCGTCAACGTAGACACTGGACTCGTGTTTGTCGAGGCTAATGTCTGTGTTTCGAAGCTAGTCAGACTACTGAAGGAAGCCGCAGAGCTATCGTGTCCTTGCACCGGAACTCGCGTAGGACATGTGTCTGGTTCTGCATTCGCGTTTGCTCGTCCAGATCCCAATAACAGACCTAATCTCATATAAAGGTCCGACTGCGACGACTTCCTGGTTTTTGAAGAAAGCGGCTTCACGCAACCGCCCTCGTCGTCTGTGGGGACAGAAATGGAAAGTAAGTTAAAAACACATGATATATAAGATAATCGAGTCGAAAAGAAAAAAGAAAAAGATACAAAAAAGAGGTCAGCCAAACTAATATAATCTAAAAAAATTCAAACAGGTGCTGCATACTGCTTCGGTAAATATAATTCGTGCTGTATTAAAAATTGAAGTAAAAAATAAAAATCACACTGTACTAAAATACGTTCAAGCGGACATTACTACCCAAGGTGTCATTTCGAATATTGATAGCAACGATCAAACAACACTGGAAATTACGATTAATATATATAATAATATATTTCATATTTCATCCGAATTAAACAGTTTTATTCATTTAAACGTCGTTAGTTCGTCTAAACGTATCGTTGCTATGCGACACACACTGCACATGTAAGAAACGAAATACTACATCCAAGCGTTGAAACGTGCGGTGTGGATTATTTATGATATTAATACCGTTTTAAAATAAAAAAATTATTTTTTTATGAATCTATATAAAACTATTATTTATAAATTTACAAATTTATACATTTTATTGTATCATTTTTTATTATTACAAGTTTATATATTATTAAGTTTATATATTATTTTTAAATTGTTTATCAAGCTTATTCAAAAAGTCTTGTATAAAAGTTATGTATGAAACATATAGAAAAATTATTTAACATTAAAAAGCGAGAAGTGTTAAAAAATTAAATATTAACCATAGTCCGCAAAAGTCTTATATAATTTGAAAATAAACACAAAATATTTTATTTTATTTGCATATATACCCGAGCAGAAATAGATATAGTCGATTTGATTTCAAGGCTAGAAGCTAGATAGTAATGACTAGATAAGTTTTCTAGTTAGTCACTAGCTAGGGATTGGCTAAATATTTCTAACCAGTCTTTCATCATCTAGCTGCTGTCTAGTCACTACATATAAAATACGGTAATAGATGGCGCCCTCGCTTCTAAAATGTACAATCTAGCTACTATCTCACATCAGGATTATGTTCGTCAGTATATCGAAATTAATGGGTGTTTCCGATAATACCTCTCCGAGTTATTTCTCTAGAGCAAAAATAAGTTACAGACATCACCATCTACTACTATTATGTGATTTATGACAACCCAAAGCTACCTAATGCTGTTTCATGACTGCAAGCAGTGGATTAGGCAGAACAATATCGTGACAAATACACGAGATAATAATTTTGTAAAATTGTATTATTGATTATAAAATCATCTGGTGTTGTTTTCTAATAAAATTTTATTTATTCTTAATTAAAGTTATATAACCATTAAAATATATGTTATATTTTTCAAATATTATCCTAAAGTAAAAAGTCACACTGTTTTAACCTATTTGCAAGTATTGTTTTTACATGACTCATACAGGTGCAAGTCCACAATAAATGCCATTAGGGTATATTGATGACAAAACAAGATAGATTTGTTTGCACAGTTTGTTTTAAATTGTATGTAATTCTACAAACGTTTCTTAATATTACTATTTTTACCATTATTTGAGTTATTTCTTTTATACTTTAATACTCATTACAATTAAACATTTTTAGATAAAAAATGGATGTACCCAGATAACCAAACCTGCGCGAGCAGATTTCGAGCAGAGCTTGCTATCAACTTTTGATGGCAAATACATAACAAATTTGAAACAGGATCTGTTATATCAAATCTTGCTGCCAAATTACCGTCAAATATGCGGCAGAGCTTGTTGTCGGATAATTGCTGCAGATTGGCGGCAGAAACCGCGCAGACCTTGCTGCGCTGCAAGCTTTGCGCGGTTTTTGCTGCAAATTTGGCACCAATTGCCCGACAGCAAGATCTGTCGCCAAAACCGTAGCCTAATGTAGACACAGATAGCTATGGTTTTGCTGTGGGTTTTTGATCAAATTTGCTGTCAATCTGCGCACAGTCTCTCAATTTGCTTACTGGGAGGATAACTTCCAACCTCCACGGGAACATCATATAAAGATCCCACATATTTTTTAAAACATTGTCGTAGCATATTTATTGACAGGTAAAAGAATTTGAAATTTTGCTGCACTATAATAATTTATTGTTTTAAGTTTATATCAATGTTCTTGCATTATATGTTTTGATTACAATAAACTGGGTGTATATCAGTTGGACACAGTCCAATCACAAGTCGCTGTTCCAAAGGACCCTACAAATGTCTCTAATCACACGGTGCTGTGATTGGCTGTGTCCAAATTCACCGTGCACCGCTCCCCAATAAACTATATTAACATTATTAAAATAAATTTTAAATCTATCTTGTTTTATCATCAATATACCCTAATGGCATAATTTATTGTGGACTTGCACCTGGACGAGTCATGTAAAAATAATACTTGCAAATAGTTAAAACAGTGTGACTTTTTACTTTAGGATAATATTTGAAAAATATAATATATATTTTAATGGTTATATAACTTTAATTAAGAATAAATAAAATTTTATTAGAAAACAACACCAGATGATTTTATAATCAATAACACAATTTTAAAAAATTATTATCTCGTATATTTGTCACGGTATTGTTCTGCCCAAGGGCCAGCGCACGAACATTGCCGTAGCTCCTTACGCCACCTTACGTGACAATCTTACGTTACGTGAGTCGTAAGCTGAACGTACGGCAACGCACGAAAATTTTACGTTACGTTACGTTACGAAGGAACATAAAGGTTTCAAAGGTGACAAAGGTAATTAAATCAGATTATTGAACAATAAGTAAAGAAACAATAATAATTTATCTTTACAGTTATAATTAGAAATGTCTATATTGAGCACATATTAATTTTATTAAACTGTTAAATGTATCTGTACAAAATTATAAACATTGCGCTATAACCTCTTCCCAACATTATGTATAGAATATGTTTAACATATAAATATTGAAATAAATTTTTAGGTTCTCAAGTCAACAAATATGAAAACATCAAAGTTTATGAAGTTAAAATGTTTATTATTGTCATTACTCTTAATTTATTATATGAGACTAAAACGGAGAAAAATATATAAAAGATGGCTCGTGAGACCAATTAATCAACAGAGAAAACAGCAAGGAGAATGAAAATCTGTTTCAAGAATTAAAAACTGATGAAGATATGTTTGTCAAATATGCCAGAATGAATGTTCAATATTTTAACAAGTTATCAAACATGCTAAGACCTTATTTGGTAAAAGAACTAAGAAAGCTCTGTCTCCGGAACACAGATTAATAACATTAAGGTAAATATAGTTTATCAGTAAAAAATTGTTTGATGCAACTACTTCTTAAATTTTTAGTTATGTTTAGAAATCATTGTTAGAAAAAAATGTTTTACGAAATTATAAACTATATAACAAAAATTGTGATTATGATTTTTCAGATATCTTGCAACAGGGAATTCAATAGCAAGTATTGCATTTTCTTTTCGAGTTGGGCAGTCAACTGTTAGACAGTTAATGAAAGAAGTATGTCTAGTTATTGTTAATACATTACAGCCTTTATATTTAACATGTCCAACTGAAGAACAGTGGAAAAATATTCCTGATGGATCATTATACGAGTACATAATGAAAACACAGCATCTGCGATAAAAAATCCAGGCATAGAGATATTACTTCCGGGAAGATAAGCGCGTGAAGTGGGCAAATTAAGTCCATTATTTTTTAAATATTTTCCAATAGTTGACGATTCAAAAATGCCTCCGTCACTATTTTTTCCATAGGCTCCTATATCAACTAAACTAAATCTATATAAATGATCAAATATTGCTATAAGAACAATGCTGAATTGTTTTTTATAATTAAAATGCAAGCTTCCAGAATTAGCAGGACATCGCAAAACTATGTTTCCTGTCAATAGCTCCAAAGCAGTTAGACATATTCCATCGGTTCCAGTATGCATTAGCAATATTCTTCCACCTGAGTTGGACGGGAGCGGTGCACTTGGACACGGTACATTTGGACACAGCCAATCACAGCACCGTATGATTAGAGACATTTGTAGGGTCCCTTGGAACAGCGACTTGTGATTGGACTGTGTCCAATTGCCCCGTGTCCAACTGATATACACCCGAGTTGGACATGCTAAATATAGAGGCTGTAATATATTAACAATAACTAGATATACTTCTTTCATTACCTGTCTAACAGTTGACTGCACAACTCGAAAAGAAAATGCAATACTTGCTATTGAATTCCCTGTTGCAAGATATCTGAAAAATGTATCACAATTTTTGCTATATAGTTTATAATTTCGTAAAATATTTTTTTCTAACAATGATTTTTAAACATAACAAAATTTAAGAAGTAGTTGCATCAAACAATTTTTTACTAATAAACTATATTTACCTTAATGTTATTATTAACCTGTGTTCCGAAGACAGAGTTTTCTTAGTTCTTTTATCAAATAAAGTCTTAGTATGGTTGATAACTTTTCAAAATGTTGAACATTCATCTTGGAATATTTGACAAACAGGTCTTTATCAGTTTTTAATTTTTTAATCATCAGTTTTAATTTTTTTATCAGTTTTAATTTTTGAAACAGATTTTCATTCTCCTTGCTGTTTTCTCTGTTGATTAATTGGTCTCACGAGCCATCTTCTATTTTACCATCTTTTGTGTATTTTTCTCCGTTTTAGTCTCATATAATAAATTAAGAGTAATGACAACAATAAACATTTTAACTTCATAGACATTGATGTTTTCATATTTGTTGACTTGAGAAATTTTATTTCAATATTTATATGTCAAACATATTCTATACATAGTGTTAGGAAGAAGTTATAACACAATGTTTATAATTTTGTACAGATACATTTAACAGTTTAATAAAATTAATATGTGCTCAATATAGACATTTCTAATTATGACTGTAAAGATAAATTATTATTGTTTCTTTATTTATTGTTCAATAATCTGATTTAATTACCTTTGTCACAGAACCTCTATGTTCCTTCGTAACGTAACATACGTAAAATTTTCGTGCATTACC